TCCAGAACGCCAGCGAGCGAGCCAGCCGCGCCGAAGAGACGAGAGATCGCCCAAAAGCCGCTTCGCCCATCTGCGCCCAGCTCGGGGCAATTCGCGCTACCCCGGTAGCCCCAAGCAAGAGATCGTCATTTGGCAGCTGCGTCCCGGAGCTTCAAGGAGCCGAAACGACGCCATCGAGTAGATTTTGGGTTTTGCCCAGGAGCCTGAACGATTCAGCATATGCTCCGGATACGGCGGTGGGTAGGGCGATTCATCTCATATTCACGACTGTCTGCTGGTCCCGCGGGCAACGAAACAAATATCTTGATCTTTCATTTTGTTACTTCCTTCTTGGTCGTGTCCTCCGGGCATCTCTTGTAAGCCGCCGACTTTGTACCAGTCGCCCGGAAGCAGGGTACAGCAGAAACGCAAAAGCCGACAACGCAGCACGAACCACGCAAGGACCGTTGGGGAGCAAAGAGAAACTAAGGTGAGAACAGTCTCATCTCCTCATGTCTGGCATTCGCATGCTTCTCGTCGGCCCTCCTTTGATCAGTGTCTCGCCACCTACTCCGCCGATATCCAGCAACCAAGACCAGTGCGGGAGAGCCACAAGGGTTTCAGCCGGCGGCCGGCACTCACATCACCCACAGATGGACGGCGAGATTCGGTGGAACTCGACGACGCTTGTGTTGTCCATCGCAAAGGATACGGGCGTTCCCTCGTTTCCGTTAAGCCCTTCCCGCTCACCAATCAACCCCGCCACGACACGCAAAGAAAAGCGAGGGGACAGACAGAGCAGAGAGTCAGGCAGAAGGGACGGCGGACGGACTACACAGGGCTTCCTGAGCCATACCATCCTTGGCCGTTGGTGTGCGCTCGATTAGGCTGTCGCGGCTGGCGCTGGAAGCTATGGCCAATCACGCTAACACATGGTTCGCAGTAAACAAGAAGACACACGGGAGGCCGCCTTACAGCCACCCCCGAGTCCCCTACAGGTCGATCAGACACACCCCTCCATCTGCAGCCCAGCAGCACAGGGCAGCAGGCGACAGGCAACCAGGCTACCTGTGAGCACAGGCCCGAGAA